AACCCGTGTCTGACTCTGAGGAAGACTCCGACTCGGACCTGGACGAGGAAGCAGCGCTGCGTTTCTACAGAGAAGCAGAGGAGCGCGTGACGTTGAAGAGGAAGAGCAAAAACCCTGAAGCTAAAGAGTGAGTGGGATTTTTAAAAATGTTTTCAAAAGAACTGTTGGTCAGAGATGATTTTCACTGAATTCATATGAATTTATCACAGACGTGAAGACGATGACGAGGAGGAGCTGCTCCCAGAGGCCAAGAGAGGAATCACATACCAGGTACCAAGATGGAGGACGGTCTTCATGTTGGACAGTCGTGTTCATATAAATGACTGAGACGTGTTGGTGTTCCTCCAGGCTCTGGAACTGTTTAAAAGGAACTCGTACTGTTCGTCATGGATCAAACATTATTTCAGTTCTGCTCCGTTTCCCAACATCCAGGAGGATTTAGTTTGAACATCTTTAGGCTTTATAGATAGTCATCCTGTGGCATTAGGGCGCCACCTGCTGGACTACATTTTATTCACAGTATTGTAAAAACATCCAAACTAGGAGGAGGATTCTGAGTGATTTTCTTAGTGAATTTTCTAGATGTTTCTAAGAGTTTATTCTCCGTGTGTTTCCGTCCGTTTCACAGATGGCTAAAAATAAGGGTCTGACACCAAAGAGGAAGAAGATTGACCGAAACCCCCGAGTCAAGCACAGAGAGAAGTTCAGACGAGCCAAGATCCGCAGAAAGGGACAGGTTTGTGTTCTAAAACAGGGCGTGATTATTATTGTTTATTATTGTTGTTGTTGTTGTTGTTGTTGTTGTCGTCCTTTGTTTGTTAGCGGCCGTACATCATCTGTTCTCATCCCTTGTTTTTGTCACCAGGTCCGACAGGTGCGTCGTGAGGAGACCAAGTACAGCGGAGAGCTTTCTGGTATTCGTGCTGGAGTCAAGAAGAGTGTGAAACTTAACTAACCACAACGAAGGGTTAATATTTGATTGTGGTGGTTAACTGTAAGTCAGCCTTCTGGTCAAACCGTCCTGTTTTACCTGTGACTAGTTCAACTGTTGTCTTTATATAAAGACACTGAAACCTGACAGACGCTGTTCGTTTCATTACTACAGAAACATTTCCTCTGCTGAGTTACTGTTAGACCTGCAGTATTTAAGATTTTAAAAAACACATACACAGATTTCTAGAATCCTTTAAATAAAAACCGTTTGACACGTTTTCCTGTTTAATTTTTCTAAAAATATGAACTATTTCTGCTCCAATCAGTGCAGTTATTTTCACGGTGAAAGTCCATGATACTGTTACATCATCGTCTCACACGACAGAAAACATTGAATCATTTTTGATAAATGTTTTAATAAAGCCCATGGAGGCTCTGTCATGGTTTGTGACTGTATTTTAACAGCCACAAAATGCAGAGCGACCCCTGGTGGTGAGAACCATATCAAAATAATAGAAAAAAGCTTTAGCTCAGAGTGGTTTTTAGACACGGATACAGACTGAACCCTAGAACACCACAGGAAAGGCAGCGGTGCATTATGGGACATGGTTCAGTCATTTGGTTCATGATGCAGAACTAAAGAGTCTGGAAAGAAAAAGGTGTCTTTCACTTCCTAACAGCCATACTTCAGGTCACGGTGGGAGGAGGAGTCAGAGGCGCCGCTGAAACATCAACTGGTTTGTGGAGTTATGAACTTGTCGTGCGCAGACGTCAGGTTGTCCACGATCCTCTCCTCGATCTCCACCCCGTTCTTCGTCTGCTCCTCTGTGAGGACGAGCTCAGTCTCAGTCTCGGGGGTCACCACCATCACGTAGCCCCGTCGAGAGTCCAGTACGTTGGCCACCACCACCTGGTGCCGGTACGTGTCCAGAGCCTGTCGAGCCTTGTGCAGCAGGATGGACGGATCAGTCTCCAGTTTGAAGGAAATGACGAAGGCCTGAGGAGCCCAGTCCTTCACCAGGGGGGACAGAACCTTAGGGACCATCTTTAGGCTCAGCTGAGAGAGAGAGAAACAAAAATCACACAACAGAAAGTCAGCATCAGCTGGTTCAGTGACTGGACCCTCAGTGGGGTCAAACCTGAGCTGAACCTGACATCGGTCTACAGTCACTGTCCTGACCAGTGACTGACCACCAGTACCAGATCAAAAACAGGAACGGTGAATCCCACTCACTTGAAGAGGACCATTAGAGGATTGGATTTTATGTTCAGGCATCTCAGACGCAGGGATGTAAAAGTCAGACACAGCTGCAGCCAAATAAAACATGGCCTTTGGTCCTGTACAAGAAAGCGTTAGTGAGCAGCTTAGAAATCATTCAGACTCTTACTTGAACCGTGTTGTTAAACTGCACCTATTCCGCTGAGCGCCTGTGCTGCTGCCTTGAGGAGGTGCAGATACTCTGACAGAGTGTTGAACTCCACCGGCAGGAGGAGCCCGCTTTCTTTCACTTCCTGGTACCTCTTCAGAACTTTGGCAATGTTTGGCAGCTGCTCTTGGTCGACCAGCACGTCCACAGAGTGACCCGACGCTTCATCACCTCTGAACTGTAAGGCATCCATCATGGCTACTGTTGAGAAATGATGGGTGTAAGGATACAGGGAGCGGTGTCTGTGCAGGAAGACGACGGCGTATCCTGAGTCCAGGAAGTACTCTGCTGACGAAGCTCCTCGTCTGCCGCTGCTGAAGTTGTCCAGGAAGCGAACGGTGCGAGACTCCAGAGGAACTTTAGTGCCTCCTGACGTGATGAGAACCACTTTGTGACCGGCTTCAGCGTGACACTGGGCAAATGCGGCCATCTTCTCTTTGACCTCCCCAACGTGAGACGGAGCGGCAAATTCCTCGGCCAGCTTCCCATCGATTGAAGACATTCTGGGTTTAGCCATGACCTGAAGAGGGCAGGAGAGTGGCACCTCAGCCTTACTGTAACCATGGCAACGTCAGTATATCACTAGTGATATTTAACCTAATCCTGACTGTCATTGGACTGTGGGAAAAACAAGGAGAACCAGCGGTGAATAAAACCCACTGCACCACCGTGTGGCCCAACATGCTTACCAAATGTACTGGTTTCATGACACATTATTTTCCAAGGCTGATTTCTCTGGGTTTCTGCCCAGGCTCTTCATGACGTTTACATGAGCTGGTGTGAAAGTTTCAACCACCTCTAAAACGTAGTTGTTTACAGACTCCAAAGATGGCCGTTCTTTGACTCCTTTGTTTTTGTTGTCATCAAAGCTTCGTAAACATTCTCAGTCAAACCTTCTGCCTTTTTTATTAGAGGTCAGTAACAAGAGGAACTGGGGTATTTAGTGATATACAGTATCTGTACACACTGATGTGTATGACGGCGTGTGGTGGTGGAGTGGGTCGGGCTGTTGCCTTACAACAGGAAGATCTCCTTTCCATCTGCCCGCGGTAGCCAATAGTTCATGTATTAAGTTTGAGCGGGTGGAAGAAAACTAACGTTTGATTGGATTAAGACAATTAGACCCCGCCCCTTCTTATCAAAACTACATTTGACCTCCGGTCTTTGTTATTCTGTGTTCATCCACAACATTCTAATATGACGTGTAGTCTGAGCTAATGTCGGAGAAGCATCAACCAGACGAAACCAGTCTGAAAGGATTCAATCAATTATAAAGATAACTCTGACCCGGGTTTGGTACCAAGACGTCTGTTCGGCCCTTAGTTAATGAGTAATCCAGTTTTAAGACTTGTACTGCGGGTACAACTTCCAGGGAAGGGGTTAAGAAAAGGTTGCCAGATCTGCTCCAGTGTTCATCTTTGTCCGTACAGATATACACTTGTGTTCACTGTTGACTAACTTGACAGCGGTCAGGACACTGTCTACAGCTACATATTAGCACCGCGAAACTTCGTCTGCGATTAAAGTAACAACAACGGTAAGAAAACCAATAACACGTAAGAAAACCAAGCGTTTTGTGAAAACGATTCATATATTAAAGTAGAAATATCTTACGATATTACTAAGGTCGATATGGAGTCACAGCTTCACAACTTCTGCATTTCCGGAAACAAGAGTGTTTCTTCTTTGGCCTTTGAAAGTGCAATTTAAACTCACCAGCGTCCCCGAGTGGACATTGTAGAAACGTTAACTCACAACGGTGCTTTTCATTACAGAAGATAGCAACAGCAGGGCATCTGTTACATTCCTACCTCAACATTACGACGTGACGCAAGTTATGTAAGTTTTTCCCTTGAGATAAATGTCGGGAAATAAACAAAGCTGTGAAATGATCACTGATAAATAACCAAAATAACCTGGTCTGAAACCAGGTTAAACTGAACATTTAAACAGAAAGATGTGTGACATTATGGACCTTTAAAGGGAAGTGTCAAATGTTTAAGAATGAATTGAAATTCCCCTGTGACCCACATCGAGTCAGTTTGACTAAACGTCTTACGAATCACTTGATGAAAATACATAAAATAAAATATAAACACATACAATACAATACAATAAAACAACTGTAATTACCTAAACTGTCGTGCAGGAGGTGCTGTTGCCCTGCTGAATCAGTTGATCAGACCAGCGAACGAGTATCGTCATTCACTGATTCTCCCTGTCCACAGTATTTAGAATATACTGTATGTAATTAAAATTTAATTACACAAAACGTACGCAGTGTCTCATAAAAAACAGAAACAGATGAATTGAGTTCATAAAATGAACAAAGAACAAGTTTTCTGAAAAGTATAGTTTACCACTCGAAAAAGTATCTCATCTGTCAATCTGGACATTGATGCCTGAAACAGACGTAAAATGAGAACGGTTTATGAATGGTCCATGTTTGGACTGATGATGATGGAAGTTTTGACTAATCAGAGACCCGTGAATTTCCTATATATTTATAGTGTACATTTCACTGGCATGTGGGTGATGTTGTAAGACATCAGCTCTTCAGGTGGATCTGTGGATCGTTGTTTGTTTGGGTAGGTAGGCAGGCAGGTAGGTAGGTAGGTAGGTAGGCAGGTAGGTATGTAACTCTATCACCTCTGTTTGCTCTGTTGGCAGGTAGGTAGGTAGGTATGTAACTCTGTCACCTCTGTTTGCTCTGTTGTAGTACTTTTGTTTTTGTTTTATCTTTTCAAAATAGTCATGTTTATTTAACAACCCTGTTCAATGAGAGGACGTGTGTATGACAACAACATCACAAAGTTTTCATTACCCACCAACTGATGTTCACGTTCGTACGCCACATACATTGATGTGATAAAAATACACACTGGCTCTCAAATGAAATACAACTTTCATCACACGTCACCTCTAATGTGATATTTACGTAATATGTGGAACATTGCACTACATTCAAGTTAGAATCCTTTTTTAAATATTTCCATTTTATATTTACCACATTTCAGGAGAATTTGATTATGCAAATATCTGAGGTGCATGTTGCAAAACATGGTAATATGGTGACACCAAAATTTAAAACTATTTTTCAGCACTGTTTAGGTGTTTATGTGAATAAATTTGAACTTTTGAGCAGTTCAAACATTGTTTAAGTCAACAGGGCTCCAGCTGTCATGATATGGATATACAAACTAGATTATTTGTAATAATAATAACTAGGTTATTTACTAGATTTAGAAACGTGTAGAACTCTAGCAGTGCTCTGGTTTTGTTCAAGATGACTTTTTTTCATAGTTTATTTTGAAAATATGTTTTAATGAAGTGACTATTCCGTTGTGGGCTCGAATGTTTTACCACGCGCTAGTTTCTGTGGCGGCAGAGTTATCGAGACAGAGAGAGGGGGAAAACCTAACTGTGAGTCGTCGCTGGGGAAAGTAGTTCCGGCCACTTTTATCCAAACGCGGTGGAGGGGGAGTGGGGCAGAGACCCGGATGTTGGCACGGCCGCGGACAGAAAGGCGAACGAGAGAAGGCGGAGAGAGGCTGAGCAGGAGACGCCACGGCACCGCGGGTTACACCGGCGAAGCTACGGTCACAGCAGCTCTAAATACAACAGGAAGACACTGTCAGAGAACACGGACACTCCTGGGGGAGTCCCGCTAGCTGACGGAGAGGAGCTTAAAGGAAGGGGAGGGGGCACTTACAGTGAAACTACCGTGAGGATTTTACCAGGGAGCCGCCGTCACACAGCAGCTTTCACCCAGAGTAAGTGAGCTACACGGGCATGGAAGTTACACTAAGGCCCACGAAATGGACGACTTTAGTGGTGAAGTGTGCGGTGCTAAAGTTCTGAGGACTGAGCCCAGTGAACAGGCCCCGAGACACCGTGACGGCCGTGCGGGGGGGACACGTTTTATTTTTCTTCCCGGAGTGTCGCTCGGTGTTGCGCCGTACTCAGTGTTATTCTACCCCGGGCGTGTTGCTGTAACTCTCCAAGTTGACAGCTCCCGTATTAGCCTGTTAGCTCCGACGTGCAACCGGTGACAACTGACAGCGCAACTTTGACAGTCGGAGAGCCACTTTGACCAGGCGGCTGGTTCTAGCAGAGCTCGGTCTGCGCTCCCCCCGGGGCCGGGGCTGAGTCTCGGCCGGGCTTCGTCTGCCTGGTGGGAATATCGTGCTTTATTCCCAGCACTCTAGCTGCTATCGTTAGCTAGCTGTTTGGTATGGTGAGACGTGTGTGTGTGTGTGTGTGTCAGTCAGACAGATAGACAGAGAGAGGGAGAGAGAGAGGGAGAGAGCTCTGGTCGTATTTGACTCACAGCTGTTGCAGCGTGTTTTCTCAACTGTCACTCGTCTGTTTCCCAGGCGGCCAATAAATTCCTCTCAAGAAATAATGGTCCTCGTAGGCAGAACCGCTCCAGCGGAATATGAACATATCTCTGGACTGTGCCGTGGCTGGAAAATCAACAAGTGCCGAACATGTACGAGGTCAATTCTGAGCCGTGTGTTTGATGACGAGGCCGTTGGTCGGTGTATAAATCCTCCGTGTCTCCGTGTTGATGCAGTTCAATGCTTGTTCTCTCTTCACGACCTGATGTCACGTCGTTCAGGGCAGACGCTGATCAGTTGTAACCGACCGAACACTAAACGACTACGGCATCTGCAGTAGTTCATAAAACAACAGCCGTGGTCAGTGGACGGCTGAGCCGTTCATTCAACTAGTGCTAGTTAGTAGTAGTTATCTTCACGATTAAAGGGCACGGAGGTGGTACGACATTTTTAACCAAGTAATTCCAATTCTCACGATATAGTTACATTTTATGACGATATCTGCATAGAAACGGTAGATTTCTGACTTTTTCTCCCATATTTGTCCATAAATCCACTCCCTCTCTGCAGGGGCTGCAGCAAAATCAGTTACAATGTGTTTGTTTTTTTGTTTTTGTGTTTTTTTAGTTGATAGTTCTTGTACAGTGTTCTTGGTTTAGATAAATCTGATCCATTAATTTGGTGAAAATATTTCCACAAAAAGTATAAACCATCTGAAACAGAAGGTCGGGATGGACCGTGACACCTCAGAACAGACGCTAAACCAACGGGCGTTTTATCAACAGCTGACTTTAGTCAGTGGTCACCTGCAGGTCATTTGTTCCACGGTGATGTTTTCTGTCTTAAAGTGTTGAGCCTACTTACAAAAAGAGCAGAAATCGACAAATTAGCCGCTGGTGGTTGTTTTAGTTCAGTTCATTTTTACTACAGCAGCAAAAATGATCCTTTCACGACCTGAAGGGTTAGAAAGAAAAAAAAGGGAAAATCGGGTAGAGTTGGTGAGTGCCCACAATCAAAGGTCAGACCTGGTTTGCTTCTTAATCACCCATCCTTTAAATAGCACGGCCACAGCCAGCGCTCTCGCGTGGAGCGTTGGTGCACGAGGCTGTAGAAAACACATGGTGTTCAGGTCCAGCACAGCAGGCAGAGAGTAGTGTGGCCTGATGTGACTGAAAACTGTCTTCATCTTTGATTATCCTGCTGCTGTTGTGTTCTGAGCTGAAGGTAAACCAACAAACAACCAACCAACCAACAACCATCCTCTGTGTGGTGTCATGGTGTTTCCACCTCCTTCACTACACGTTTCTCCGACACTTTATTCACAACTTGTTTGTAGACGGCCTGTTTCAGAGGATGCATGGGTTTTTTTAGTGAAGTGATTAAGAGAAAACATTAGAATGTTTCTAAGTCAATGTTAATAATGATTTATTCAATATTTTTGCCTGAAGGTTTAACACAGCAGAGTTCTGGTCAGTGAGTTGTTTGATATGATCAGATTTAAAACAATGTGTTAATAATTATTGACATGGGGTCAAAGTTCATCGATGGGTCAGTGGTGCATGAAGAGGACATGTTTTGGGTTGAATGTGCATGTGCAGGGTGTCAAGGGTCACCCGGCTGGTGTTGTACAGTGAATTGAAAATCAGCCCTTGCTGTTTGAATGCCAGCCCTTCATTTGGTATTCAATAGGTGGCTCGCTGCCTCGTCCCAGCGCACTCACAGGCTTTTTAATTTCTCCCCTTGTTGAAGTGATTATTCAAATTTCCATCTTTGAGACGCAGTTATCAGGATCCTGGAGGTACCCCAGCCTTTGGCAGCATCAATCCCCCCCCCCCGTCCTCCACCATGTGTAGTTGGACAGCACCCAACAGGTACCCTTTCTATCAGCCCTTATTAACAGCTACTTCTTTTCCCCTCTGGCTGAAAACCTATTGTGTTGTTTGATTGGCAGATGGCAATTTATTTATGAAGAAGGCTGATATTTTTTTTTTTTGGCATGCTGAAGTGGTGATGCTGTTGGTCAAAGGTCTTTGATTTGTTTTTTATGTTTTTACAATCCTTTTGGTGCCAATTCCTCACAGGACTGTTTGGAGTCTCTCTGCTCATGAATGTGAAGTTTTCAACTTGGAGTTTCTCTTCACGACGTTCACCGTCGTCTCGTCCTTCAGTGGGTTTTTCACCTTGAGTGTGGAATAAAATGAAGAAAAATATTCTTCAGTTGTTTTTTTTATTTAACAGCCACTGCCCAAAGTTAAGGCTGTCGTCTGAAGTAACGTGCTGCCTGTTAGATGTCTCCCCTCATTTCTGTACTTATAGCCGGTGAGAATGTTTGGCTCTTTTGAAGAGTTAGTAGGAAGGGAGCGACTCAGTCTTCATTAGCAACTCCGCGCATCACTAGAATGTAGATGAGCTAAGGAGCCATTCATCTGCAGGAAATGCCTCCCTGATTCCAATTTGAATCTTGTTTGCAGTCACATTGTGTGAGCCCACTTCTCCATGTTAAAGAAGTCTCTTTATGTGAGAGATCAGAGGGGGATAATTGCATTTAAGTGAACCTCATTTAGTGTTGGCCAGGGCAATTACTGTAACTGCAGTTCTAGGCATTTTGGGTGCCTGGAGCAGCTGTCATTGAGTCTTTCTAGCTGAGATATCAAATGGTAAATAGAATGACACTGGCACGGCATCATGGGAAACCACAGATCCTTGGATGGATTCTAATTAGTTTTTGCATATATTTTTTTTCTGCTCTATTTTTCATCCAGAGAACATAATTAAAAATGACAACAAATATGTTTTTCAGTAATGATTGAAAGTATGTTAATCTCAAGGTGGTGCAAGGTGAGAAAAGGCAGCGCCGTCTCTCCAGGCCAAACCCCTCTGGGCTCCAGGGACATATTTTATCTTTAATGTTATGCAGGAGCCAAATTTTGAGTTTTGCTCAGCTGGGTGCTTTAATCTATTTTTGCCCTAAATTAATGAATTTTTAAAGAGTGCCTCTCTGAATATGGGTGGATGAGGGAATGCAGCACTAGTACAGTTTTCTCCACCACCAACCCTCCTCATGGGATGGAGAGCACAAATTTACTGAAGCACCGCACTTTCATTTTTTATTCATCCAGCAACGCACTGCCTGGTTCTCCTGAGCCGCTCCTCCCAGATCTGTATGGATCTCTGTCTGTATAGATGCCTAATTATGTTAGAACGTTCTCCAGTTCACATCCTGGGCTGTGTTTGGACCATGTTTTCTTTGCTGAGACACACATTACTCTGATTCTGTTGGCCGTCGTTTTGACCGTACTTTATTTTAGATTGTATCAACATGATGTTACAGCCTGTAACTGTGCGCTGCAGGTGTGATTCTGTTGTCCAGAGGAGAACCAGTACCTGGGTCAACACAAACCTGAAATGGGTCAACCTAGTAAGTTTAATTGAAGTGGTTAGTTGCCTGGTATCTCCAGACCATTTATTTACATACATGTTTCATTTGAGATTATGAAGCCATTTGTGTTCCCAGTCTGACTGGTCGGGGCTGTTCTCTCTACAGGGGAACCACACTAACTACCCTGGGGCAAATTCACTTTCCTAGAAACTCTAAACTAAAAGGGGTTTTTTACCCACGTGAAATAAAATGCAGTTGCATTTTAAACTCGTAGGTGTCAGAATGAACACTTGAATAAAATTAAATACAACTGCAGTGATAAATGGCTTTTATGAAACATTTACGGAAAAATAAACAAAAATTCCCCTCGTAATGAGACACGTCGACTCCAGTGGTAGATTCTGATGCTCCTTTTAACCCCCCCCCCCCGTCCTCCCCCCCCCAGCTGCCGCTGTCTCTCCTGGTCCACTCTGCCGCCAATACAAGCTAATGAGTATTTAATTAAAATCTGTTTGATTTAATGGTACAGTTCGCAGAACCGTCGTTGATGCTCGCAGAAGTGACGTTAAAACTGGGAAACCCCTAAATACAAGAACTCAAACAGACACAGTATTTAATCTGCAATTAATGGAACATGTTTTGAATTCAAAATGTTTTTTTTTAAATGCAGAAATGTCATTTTGTTGTCTCTGTAGGAGTTATTCGTTGTTTCTTTATACACAGACCTAACATTGATGTCAAAAGACTCTTTGAGAGGTTGAAGTTGGCGCCCCCTGGGTCAGATTTGTTTTTTAAATACTTAAATAAATATTACATTTATTTAGAAAACTGTATTTTAAAAGCATTAATCGTCTAATCACGTTGTCCACATCCACATCTGTAGTTTATAATTAGGAAACTAAATATTAGGAAATGTTCAGGTTGAAATAGGAAATATTTTCAAAGGCAGAAGATAAAGAACTTCAGATATTTCAGATGGAATTCAAAATATTGGTAAAGGCATTCCTTCTCCGTGTGCTTGTGGTGTAGATGTTCTTTTGTTCAGTTCAGTGGA